AACAGGCTGTCAGTTTCTCTCCCCTCTGCTAACACGCTGCTCGACTTGAGGATTATCAATTATCCTGCCCGTACAACGCAAAATAGTCTCAGTATGAAAACTATCATGGCGAATTTTGCTGTACACCTTTACAAGATATAGACGTATCCTATCTTGATTTTTATATCTGAAAAATTTTCTGACACTCATTCCTTTTTACTCTCTATTAAAATGGGTAATGTAATGTTCAATGAATTTGAGATTTTTTTTTTGAGCTTGAAATTGCCTCATTGAAAGGAACTCGCCTGGAGGCGCTCCACTTGTAGCGCATTGATTTCACAATAATGGTTATTTATAATGTTTCATTGATGCACAAAATTAAATCGTTAAGTTAAAAAACGCCCTGACTTTAAAATGTTTTAAAATTTAGGGAGTTGGTCATCAATAGATGTTCTCTTACCTTTTTTTGCGTCCCAAGTCTACCAGACTATGGCTGACACAATTATTTCTAATTGCGCTTCTCTAGTTCTCTAAATTATTTTTAGAAACGCAATGCGTTGAATGCATTGCTGAGGATGCGAGGAAAGGCAGCACGCCTTCATTTTTGGAGCATGCAAGTTGGACATCCCTCGAGTGCGAATAGTTGCATCCAGAGACAATATATTCAAGAGACCGCGCACTAACAATCCATGTAATTTAATTGGGCGTGGCATAAATCTACTTGGATAACGCTTTTTTCTTTCTCTCTTAATTTTTCTCCTATTATTTGTTTCTTCCTCTCTTGTTGCGCTTATCCTCTCTCTCCTCTGCGTCCTCCTATCCTTCTGTCTCATTCTTTCCTTCTTTTTTTATTAGGTATCCACATTTTCCCTCTCATCTTTCCTCTTCTTTTTCTGTTTCTTTCGCATGTTCCCCATGTTTGTTTTCTCACTCTTCTTCTTCCGCTCTTCTAGCTTCTGTTAACTCTGATATCAAAAAAGGTTTTCTTCTGCCATCACAGGGGTCAATAATGATCCCAATCACGCCAGCCAAGCTCGCACAAAAGTTGTGGAAAGCCCTCGGATTTGTTGTTATTGTTTTTGTTTGTGACGTCTGGCGTAGAATTAAAAATCGAAGTAAAATAAACGTTGAATAAGCCCTTCTTACTGCGTGGTTTAAAAGTTCTTTCCCCGGGTCGAAAAAAAGTCATCACTTTTTCAGCTCGCGGGGAATTGTGAGAAGCAGGCGACTTGATCGACCCCTACTGACATATGTCAGGAGTCGGCAGAGTAGAGTCTGTCAGTCAAGAGTTAACACTAGAGTCCCTTTATAGAGAGAGTTAGGACAACGCGGCTCATGTATGTCACCAAGGGGAATAAAGATTACACAAATCGGACGTTTTTTGTAATCTTTGATCAATCCATTCTCGAATTCCCGTCTCCATTCCCTCTCTCGTTCCATTCATTCCTTGTCGTACCCCCGATTCCCCGGTCCATTCCAGTTGTTAAGCTTTGCAATTGGTGAGAATGTAATCTTTATTCCCGTTTGTGACACTGTGGAGGCTTAAAATACGGGAACCAATCAGAAATGGATTCGCATTGTCTTTACTCTCAGTATAAAGGGACTCTAGTTAACACCAGGAACCAAAAACATTCTCAAATCATTGAGAAGTATCGGCTTAAACAACATTTTTCTCATTTTTCTTGCATTCCCCCGGAACTTTGATTTGGGTCGTTTCTGAACCATGCGGTCCATTTCGAAGCGTGCGTATGCTTTTAAATTCGATAGCGGCGGGACGCGAGGCGAGCGGCCGAAAGTATGTTGTTAAGTCGAACATTCCCTTATTTATTTTGATTCATTTATTTCGCGGGCGTAGGACCGGCGGTTGACGGCGGGTCCTTATTCTCTGTCCGGCCCTTTCCGATCCCTTTGAAGCGGCCGGGCCGATAAATTAAAGCCGGTTCTACTTGAGGAAACGCTTGATTGATGAGGGAAATTTAACTCGTTCACGTCATCCACATGCCTCCGAAATGAATGTGCGAAACAAAGCAACGACCTTGTGTGCCGGCAATCGATGCCCCCCCCCCTCCCGCCACGTCGGTGCGTGCACAGCTGAAAATCCGGCGACCCTCTCTGTCTTTTTCCTTGTCCTCAAGCGTGTCCTACTCCTGTCCAATTAGATTTTATGGAAAAGGCTAATCACTCGCTTGAAAGATGACGTTTTCAAACGCTCGTTCAGGGACACCAGTTACCCGAAATGAGAGGGGGGAGGGGTAAACGTTCAGTCAGGGACACCAGTTTACTCGAAATAAGTGGGGGGGGGCAAAGTTATTTCGAGGAGGTGAAATTCGCTTTGGAGGGGATTTCTCCCTTCTAACTCCCCCCCCCAACTCGATCCTTCCCGTTTTTTTACTTTTCATGTTCTCAAGGCGATTTAAAGTAAAATTTAAGTCCAATACTATACTGATATCGAGTCCCTTCATAGCATGACAATGTTAAGAAAGTGTTTTTTTATGATTTTTTGTACTTACAGTAGTTTTGATCGTAGGAGTTTACCAGAACTAAGGGGGGGGGGGCAAATTTGTTTACCCAAACTGAATTTGGTTCTATTAAACTGAAGTTTGATTACATCAACCGAAAAGTGCAGTCTCATGCACGGAATAATACGGTTAATATGAAACACCGCACCACAATTCAAGCTTTTTTCTCAGAGGAGTTACTCATGAAATTATCTCTTTCGCATACTTGTAAGTAAGAAGACTGCAATTTTATAAATATTACTTCATTAATGGTTCGTTTGAAATGTATAATACTCATACTTCAGCGATACATCTTCGTCGATTCTTCTGTCTGACCTCTTCTCTTGTTTGAAATTCAAATCATAAGGCACGCTGCTTCTTTACCCTTACAAATTATACCCACAACCCGGGGGCGGCCTGCTGTTGACGTTCTCCGAATAGGTTTCAAACGACTCAATCGGATCCGAGCCATCTCTCGTCGAAGCATTATCTAATAATCGCACCAATACGAGTATCAGGGAAGAAATTAAAAAGCGTGAAGGCGGCGAAGACAAGACGTTGGATGAGTATCAGTGGCGAGGCGTGCATGATCGATTATCGATATTTCCCCATTTGAGCTGCGGTAAAGAATCGATTATTAGGGTGTTCGCTGCGGACACCCTAATAATCGATCCTTTTCCTTAGGTTTAAATGGTAGATCGATCGATATATCGTCAAGCACGCCACGCCACTGATGAGTATCCGAGGTGGCATCTCCAAAGCCGCCAGGCGTCACTCCCTTTGTGCCAGGCTCGGAATCGTATTTGCCTCTCATCCGCGAGTGCCTCCTTACCCGCCCTCAAAGCGCGGGGTTAAAAACAAAACCACCTTACTGCGGAAGAGAGCAGTAACTCCAACCTGAAGTGGGCCTCGAAGCGCACAAGAGCGCGTGCAAACCAGGGAGCACGTACGCGTGGAGTTACTGCTGTCTTCAGAACACTTCCTTGCCCGCCTTGAGAGCACGAGGTAAAAACAAAACCGCCGTTCCTCGGAAAAGAGCAGTATCTCCATTGTAGATTGAGCTGCCGAGCGCATAAGAGCACGTGGTGATCGGGGATCACGCGCGGTTGGAGTTACTGCCGTTCTCCGCGAAACGGCGGAAAATTTTATCGCATCTCGGTGAAAAAATCGGGCACCGATCGCTCCCTCCCACGATTTTTTTTTGACGTAAGAGCGTAACTGCTTTTTGAGATGAGACCTGCCGAACACAGAACTTCATGGTTTTCACCGTTTCACGGTGTTGGGGTTACGGTTTTTTGTCAGAGGAGGGACGATTTTTGAGCGCGGCTCTCGCCGACCGAGTGGAGAGGGATCAATGCGTTTCAAATGATCTCAATTAAATCTGAAAATTCAGAGGAGCGGGAATATCAACTCCGGAATATAATAATTCAGGGCCTCGGTCGACTGGAAGACTGTAATGGAGAGTTAGAAGCGTGAGTATTGCGCTGCTGGCAGATCGTCAGAAATCGATTGTTCATGATTGAATAGTGAAGTATTTTAACCGCGTGGACCCTCAACCTTCAAAAACATAAGCAGGAAGAATATCGTCACCTTCCAGGCAAAGTATCACAAGCGCCTTGCGACGTTTTAACATTTCCGCCATTATTTAATTCTTTTACAGAGAAATTTTTGGTTGAGTTTGTTTGAAAATTTCGCTGAATTTCATCGGCAGCAAAAAGAAAATTCGGTGAAATTTTCAGACAGCTTCGTTGAGTAATTTCTCTGGAAAAAAATAAAATGGCGGCGGAAATTTTTAAACGTTGCATGGCGCTCGTGATACCTACTTTGATCGGAAGGTGACGATGCGACGTTGCGATCCGATTTGTAGGTAATTGAATTTTTATCGAAGGCTATATGTTGCAGTGTTATTTTGTGATGTGCACTGAATAAATATGTTTTACGGCACTGCGATATTAGGATGGTAATCACCGGCAGACTCGATGGTTAGGTTAGCAGATATACTGTAGTTCTAACCGCATTCACTAAAAGTATGGTTAATGCCACCAGGTGTCTGATTATTCTTACCCTATAGTATCAGTGTGGCACAATTAAGTTGACTCATGATTTTTTTTCAGTGTGACCTATAATTAAATAGCGACTTTTTCAATAAAAAATACAAGTATTTCTTGAAATATTCAATTTAATATGCTTGAAAAGAATAACCAGAAAGTACGCATGCGAGTGTGGCTCACTATTAATGTATTAGCACTTCCAAGATTTTACAAACCCAACGGAGCAGGTTGAAGCATTAAAAAACCGTAATCACGAGTCGCTTGCATTCATTCTGACAGCGTCCAATAAGTTATCAGAGTTGTATGTCAATGTATTAATGGCATCATCTCAGATTCATCTGTTCTCAGTATCATGTTCACCGTTGTATCGTTCAAAAAAAGTCTCAATTTGATCACAATTAGTTTGATGAAAAATCTCTCTGAAAAATGTCTATACCCGTTCTAATTAGTGCAAAATGTTTTTGTGTTTCAGTGACCAGAAATAACGGAAAGCTAAGACTCATTTCTCCTCAACAAGTCTACTGTTTCTCAACTTGAAATAAATTCGGTAAGTCCGATGTCTTCACACTTCAGTAAATGCAGATTGCTGTTAATTTTTTTTATTTCTCTTTTCCAAATCGGAGCAAACATGCTCGATGACGATGAGTGCGCTCAAGAAGCTTTCTCGGGCCCAATGAATCTCTTTTTGCACCTCGAGTCTTACTTTAAAAAGTTCCGACTCGACAGATAAAAAACGCCTTCAATTTAGAATGATACTGTGCAACACTTAGGAGTTGAAATATTTGTATCTAAGGTTTGAACTTAACATAGAATCGGCGCAGTCCTACTATGTCGGCTCCTGTTCAATCGATCTTCGTGAAACTTGGTAATAGGGTGTATTCTTCGACAAGAAACTTGAATTTTCAGACAACTTCAAAATTCTAAAAGACAATTTGGCCTAAAATACTACCTCAGCTCCTGTCACATCGTTTTTTGTGAAACTCGGTATTACGGGGAATTTTATTATTGGAAGCTCAAATTTATCGTCAAATCTCAAAATTAGAAAATCCAAGATGACGGACGTGGCCTAAAATATTATCTCAGCTCCCGTTGAGTCGATTTTTGGGGAACTTGATACCGAACTTTTTTATTGGAATCTCGAAATTTCCGTCAAATACCGCGCTAAGGAGAATACTTCATCAGGATGCGGACGTTGCTAAAGTTTCTCCGTTAACATACTTAATTCAAAGAAAGTTAGGAATATTTTTGTATTTCAGGCCAAATTGCGAAAAAAATTGTTGAGAAATAGGAAAACAAATATTCACAAGTTTCCTCGGAAAATGGGCCTGTTGCATGCAAGAGATACAGCCGTGCGAATAGACTTTTTAAAGGTTAAATGACACGAAAATTACGATGGTCACATTAAAAAAGTCTGAAATACACTCCGTACTGCGCAATTTGTGTTGTTAGGAACGCGCTTTTTCGTCTGGGGGCAGTTTTCTAACGGAAACAATTAACGGCAACTCGCGGCTATTTCCGGTCAACTAAAACTGACAACATAACCTAAAAATCGGAGCTCGTGACATCGTGAAATGAAAAGTAGAAGGATTGCGTTGGATATTTAAAAGTTGATCGATTTGGTTACCGCATAAAGCGTATATGGACCACTATAGGAGGTCACGTTGGGTTTGTAAACAAACTGAATGAAAAAATAACAACAACGACTCGACATCTTCCGGAAATCACCGCGCCCGCCGTTTGCTCGTTTCCGGTGATTAGAAAACTACCCCCAGACGCGGGAAATTTGAAAAAGCGCGTTCCTAACAATGCAAATTGCGCAGTAAGGAGTGTATTTCAGACTTTTTTAATGTGACCATCGTAATTTTCGTGTCATTTAACCTCTAGAAAGTCTATTCGCGCGGCTGTATCTCTTGCATGCAACAGGCCCATTGTATTTTCTGAAGAAAAAAGTGCAACGTCCAAAGCTTTACACAATGTTCCTTCTTTTGCACGGCAATAACGGAACTGTAAAATAATTAACAAACTTATAGGAGGTAAAAAGGGAGTCATTTCGGGTTAAAATGGTTCTTCAGCGCTTTGGACAACTATTCGACAGCCAGTCGATCAATTTATAATTTCTGGATCATCCAAGACCCTCAGAAAAGGGCCTTAAATCTTGCCATATTCTGGCAACATTGTCAGGAGCTGAGTTAAATCCTACAATCGCTCAAACGTGCGCAAGGGCTGAGCTCAACAACCGCACAGTGGATCGAGGTAATGAGAGAGGTTGGACAAAATTTGGAACCATTAAAAGCTTATAACTCCGTTGAATAAAAACTTTAAGATTTTAAAAGTGGTTTTCTAGTGAAATATCGTTTAGAGGCACCCCTTAAAGTTCAAAATATGACAAATTAAACGTCAAAATTCGCATTTTTAGCTTGAAACTTCATGTCCGACTTCTCTGATTGACTCTATCCACTGTGAGCCGTGCCCTAGTCGAACGAGTTGAGTCTCTCATCCGGATGAGAATCGGGCATGATCCCGGAGTTGAGCGCGACGCACAATGGATCGAGTCAATCAGAGAAATCGGACAAAATTTGGAAACTTTAAACGCTTATAACTCAGTTTATACAAAACTTTAAGGATCTAAAAGAGCTTTCATTGGCTTCCTCGTAAAATTTTCTTCCAGCATCAATCCTTAACGTTTAAAGTGTATCGAATTTAACATCAAAATTTACAGTTTTAGTCGAAAATTTTATGTCCGACCTCTCCAATTGACTCGATCCACTGTGCGTCGCCGTCGGACGGAGCCAGTGAAAAGTCGGCTTATCAATCATGTCTCCAAGTCGTCCTATTAGACGAGGATCCTTGTCCTTGTTCGTCAGACGCCCAGCCGAATCAATTTCGCATCGCAGACTTCGACTTCGAGCCGCGGCGCCGCTCCCCGAGACAGCTCCGATAAAGCGTCAAAATTCGTCGCTATCCTTACGAAAGAACGTAACTTATTTCAATATCGACAAATTTACCCTCGCAAATTGCGTATTAATTAGGAGGGTTTTGGGCATTCCCAATTGGAATTTTCCACTGATTTTTTCTGCGATTTCGTGCAAAAATTAGGAAAATCTTCGACAAAAATTGCACAGGTGCAACGTTGTGAAATAAATTGATCGTTTGAGTAAATTTGGCAACCTTGGAATGGAGTTACGTTTCTTTGTGCGGACTCTGACGAAATTGAAAAGTCGCCGTGTTGCGATTTTTTGAGTTTATAGTGTAGCAATTTCAAATGAGTCTGCTGGCTGATGATCATAACTGATGATGATAGACAAGGCGTTAGACAAAGAAGTCAAATCGTCGTTTCCCCTACGACAGAACGTAACTTCATTTCAATGTTACCTAATTTCCACTGGGAAATTGCTTATGAACAATTTTAGGAATTTTTAATTGTAATTATCATGTGATTTCTCCTCAGAGTTCATGCAAAAATTAAAATATTTTTTGATAATACTTGCACAAGTTCTTTTTTGTAAAGAAAAGAAATTGAATTGTTTGAGTCAATTTGGCAACCTTGAAATGAAGTTACGTTCCTTTGTCCGGGACACGACGAAATGGAGGGATCTTGTCGGCTGAAGCGGGTGGTTGCAATGAACAAATGATACAAGTAAGTAGTAACTAACGAACGGAACTGAACGAAAACGCACGAGAGACGCTAGTTAGACGATCATTTTCCTCTTTAATCTATAATTACCACTCGTTTCAACCAATTGGAGCGATCCTTTTTCTTTGTCTGCTTTGTTTGTTGATTCTAATAATCAGCCCGGTGTTTTACATGAAATGTACACATAGTTAAATGGAATTGATTAAAATGAATTGTCTAACAAAAGTCGTACACAGCCACCCGAGTAGACTTTTTCTCAGAAAAATTAGACAAAAATTAAGTTGAGTACATCTTTAATGGCCAAAACATATTCTGAAACATGCAACGTGCGCAGTCCGCACTTTGAAATCCGTCTCCGCAGCAGACTGAACTTCAGGTTACTGCTTAATTTCACTTACCGTTGCGTTGGTCGCGACTCGACGAGTAAAAAACGCCTTCAATTGCGAATGATACTGTGCAACACTCAGGAGTTAAAATATTTGTATCTCAAGTTTGAACCTAACATAGAATCGGCACAGTCCTACTAGGTCGGCTCCTGTTCCGTCGATCTTTGTGAAACTGTGTGACAGGTTGTATTTTTGGACGAGAAACTTGAATTTTCAGACATCTTCAAAATTCAAAAAGCCAAAATGGCCTTAAGTACTACCTCAGCTCCTGTTACATCGTTCATTGTGAAACTCGGTATCAGGAGGGACTTTTTTATTGGAAGCTCGAAATTATCGTCAAATGTTCAAAATTAGAAAATTCACGATGACGAACGTGGCCTAAAATACTATCTCAGCTCCTGTATAGTCAATCTGTGTGGAACTCGATATTTTAGGGTACTTTTTGGCGGGGAAACTTGAAATTTTAGTCACATTTTGACTCTCTTGGAGGTTTTCTTCGGTGGAGGACCCCTAAAATAGTCTCAAAAAATGTATATTTTATTTTACAATCTGTTTGTAGGTTTTTTTGTTGCCCCTCCCCTAAATCAGGTACCAAACAAACGTCTTCGAAGAGAGGTTTTTTTCATGAGAAAGCTTCGTTATGACTAGCTTCATTGTATATCCATTTGAAAAAAAAGAAAGAAAAAAAAACAACTTATTTTTACAAAACTGCCAATCAAACAGCTGAGCCTACATTCCTCAACCATCATCAGGCAATAAGATGAAAATTGATACCTAAGGGCTGGACACACGTTCAAAGTGGAGCTTCAAAGTGGTAAACGTTTAGCCAAGAGTTGACTGGTGACGTGGCCCTTGATGTGTTCACTTTGTAGCGGTGTTTACACGACTTTGAAGACTTAACCCTAAAATTTCATGTAAACAAACATTAAAAGTAAACAATGATCGTGCTGAAGCAGTTTGATTTTATTAAAATGGATATAGACCGTGATAATTTTGTTAAAAAAGCTGTAGTGGTTGACAAGTTTCAGAGCCGAAACAGCAGGACCTTTTGCGATGACCTGATTTACTTTGGAAACAGCAGGATTTGTACCTTGTGCGATAACCTGTCCTGGTGATGGATTGGTTGTTGCAGGAGCAAGTGAGGCTGGGTTTTCAACTAGGTTGACAATTTTCAGAGTCGAAACGGCAGGACCTTTTGCGATGACCTGATTAAATTCCATAATTTTTCACTACGCAGACGCACTTAAATTATTATTGTAATAGCCGCGCGCTTGGAGAGGTTAGATGGACGTTGAGATCCGCAGAGCATCGATGACCTTCAAAGGAGAGCGGGCCGCTCTCCTTTGAAGGTCATCAATCAACACTTGACTAAACGTTTATCACTTTGAAGCTCCACTTTGAACGTGTGTCCAGCCCTCTAAACAAACATATTGAATCCGCATAAGAAATTTTCAGCTCAGTCGTTCGATCGGTTAGATAGTGCAGAGTAGAGTCTCCGAAACGTTGTCTCTGGTTCCTTTCAACGTA